AGACTTGATTTTGTAATTATTATATCAAGTTATGAAGTATGTTTTTGAAAACTCAACAAGAAAATTCAAGTTTTAGTTTCAATGATTTTTTTTTTTTTTTGGTAGTGTATCAATGAAGAATGGTGAATAAAATGGAAGTTTTCAGGTTCAAGAAGATGTGAAGAAAGAAATCAAAAGAGTGAAAATTGTTGTTGTTCAAAGACACTATTTTTTGGCTTTCTATCAAAATATCTCAAATTTCTTTTCAACCAATTCTTTTCTTCTAAAAAATTCTCCTCTCTTTCAAAACCAATTCTCTCTTCTCCTTCTTCTCCGAGAAGATTAGCTTTTATAGAATTTAAGATGGAAAGAAAATGAAAATAAAACCAAAAAAAAAAATTTATTGTTTTAATAATGATATTTCCTTCATTTGTTTTTTTAAACCATGAGTGCCTTTTCCACCTTCTAACACAATGAATGTCTTCTCCACCTTATATATATATATATATATAACATTTTCCCTAATCATTCTCATCTCTCGTTTGTTTTATTAAAAAATAATTCTCCATTACTTATTTGAAAAAATATATATATAAAGAAGAAAAAAAGGAAAGAAAATATGGTAAAGAAGGTAATGGAAGGCAAAATGGTGTTAGCATCATTAGTTTTGAAAAAATTTCAAACAAGTCTAAAACAATTTGGCTAAAACGGGTATAAGGTTGGGATTAAAGCTTAAATTCAATTTTTCTGTTGAGAAATTCATAGTATAGCATTTCATCATCAAGTGTTCGGAAAAAAACACCCAAGCCTTAGGACAGGTTAAAATGGAATGTCTACAACAGTATTTGGAAATAGAGGCGGCAAGATTTTCCAAACACAGAATGAAGATATATGGGAAGAGAGGGTCTCCGTGTATGATACCCCTGGAGAGGCAAAAAGAGTCAGTGATTTCGCCATTGAAAATGACCGAGAGTTGAGTAGATGACACACATGAGATGATGGGTTTGAGCCAAATTGTAGGGAGGTTGAAAAAGGTGAGCATTTGTTTGATGAAACTCCACTCTAATCTGTTATAGGCCTTGCCCAAGTCTAACTTAATGAGTAAGTTGCCCTTTTTGCCTTTTTGTGCTTAAAACTATTGACCACTTCTTGTAAAATGATAACATTATCCGTACCCTTACGACCAGAAAGAAAGCTAGATTGGAACAGATTGATAACATCATTTAGGAGAGGTGTTAATCTGCCTACCAAAATTTTTGAAATGATTTTGTACAGGGTGTTGCAGACGACAGTAGATCGAAATTGAGTAACCGTTTCTGGTTTTTGTACTTTAGGGATCAAATAAATGAGTGTTTTGTTAATTTCTAGGCTGATTTTACTAGAGGTAAAGGTATCAACCACAGTTTTGTACATAGAAGCACAGAGTGAATCCCAACACTGATGGAAAAAAGACAAGATGAAGTCCATCAGGCCCTAGGGCTTTAAGAGGTTTCATAGACCAAAGGGCCACTTTGACCTTGTCTATGGTTGGGATGATGGAGAGAGCATGGTGTTAGTTCGACTCAATGGCTGGGAGGGGTATGTCAAACTGGTGGTCTATAGCAACATTAGCAAAATTCATTCGGAATAGGTTAGAGAAGTGTCTCACAAATAATGCCTTGATAAATTCTTTCTCATACATCCATTGATCGTTTTGATCCTTGATCACAAGGATTTTATTGTGTCTACAATGGGAGATGGTCGTAAGATGGAAGAAATACGTGTTTCGATCTCTTTCTAAGGCTTAATTGACACAGGATTTAAGGGACCAAAATTCCTCCTCCACATTGAGCAATTTATTGTATTCAAGGATAAGAGATTCCTCCAAATTTTAGAGAAGAGGTGAAGGATTGGTTTCTAGGGCTCTCTAGGCTTCAAGTAAGCGGGCTGCAATTTTTTTCTTCCTAAAGAAGATGTTGCCGAAAATTTCTTTATTCTAGGTTTTAATTTTTTCAGTAAAGAGGTTGGCACAGGTTTGAAAGGGTGCATCTCGTTGCCAACAGCTGTCAACCACAGTGTACAAAGACGGGTCAGAGAGCCAGATGGTTTCGAAGCGAAAAGGTCTGGTTGAGTTGGTAAATGAGTTGGGGTTTGGATCAAGCAGGATCGGGCAATGGTCGGAGTGAAGACAGGGGAAGTGGAGGATATAGGTGTTGGGATATAGAGTGTTTCAACTATTGTTACTCCAACATCTATCCAATCTTTCTCTAATGAGGCTGCCCGTAGCCTTAAGATTAGACCAAGTGAATCTAGGTCCAAAGAAACCTAAGTCTGTGAAGCCACAATGATTGATACGCTCTTGGAACCATAGGGCTCTCTTGATGTTAACAGGCCTACGCCCATACTTATCTAAACTGGTGAGTAACTCATTAAAGTCTCCCATCATTAGCTAAGGAGATTGGTGAGAGTCAGCAAAAATTTTCAATTTCGTCCTAAGTTCTTTCTGAAAATTATAATGAGGACTAGCATAAATAGCAGAAAAAAATCCCAGAAGATGAGTTAGGAGAAACCTGGACACAAGCGTGGATCTCTTGTATGGAGATGGACAAGATGGCACAGTGAATTTCTAGTTCATTTCACAACAACCACATTCCTCCTGCATAACTGGCTAGTTCAACCATAAAGACATTTGGGAAGCCAAGATTCTCAGCAAGGGATTTTTCCCTTTCGCCCCCTACCCTTGTTTCGGAAATGACAACCAACTGAGGTTTGTGCACTTGATGTAGGTCAAACAGATGGAAGCGGAAATGGGGGTTGGTCGCGCCTCTATAATTCCATAGTAGCACCTTTATTGGGGGTTTAAAGAGTAAGGGTGGTGGACGAGAGATCACATCCACCAGCATTGTCTCTTCTTCCCTCGTCACCCACTCCAGGCTCAAAGTCATAGTCTCTTTGTTCATTAGGACTAGAATCAGCGTAATCAAGTGTTCGAGGCTTGAACTTCCTTGTCTTAGACAGGACTTTAAGATAATGCAAAGCTTGTCAAGGTGTCAAAAGTGGAAATTGAGATTGAATTGAAGAATAATTCATTCTTTACGAAAAAACGTGCAAAAAATAAATAGAATAATGTGATGAGATATTTTGTTTATTAACTATTTTAATGCTATAAGAAAACCAAAAGTGGAAACTCAGATTGAATTGAAGAATAATTCATTCTTTATGAAAAGACGTAAAAAAAAAATAATGTAATAAAATATTTTATTTTATTAATTATTTTAGGAAAAATTACTAAGAAGTCTTTTTTGAAACATGTGTAGTCTATTTAGTCCCATAACCTTTTGTTGATACCCAAAAGTCCTATAACGTTATTCTTCTTCTCTGCCTCTCTTCTTCTCTACCTCTTTTGCTCTTTGTGATTTTCGGCGATTGTTGATGGGTAACCATATATTGCTTCTTCTCTTTCTCTTTCCGATATATAGTCACCGACGACCGACGACTACCATCGATTGGGATTCACCGACAACCACCGACCACCGACTCTTTACTTCACCCTCATCGACGGTAAAGAAGATATGTTTCCGACGAAGAAGATGAGTAGATCTACTTAGATCTGATGTAGATCTACATCAGATCTGAGTAGTTCTACATCAGATTTGGCTAGATATAAACAAAAAATAGTTGCCAGAGTACAATTCTCTCTCTATATCCGCATTTCTCCTTCGATCTCTTATTTTTTTCTACATTTTCTCTGCTATACACTTCTCTTTTTCTGTTCTAATGGAGAAAATTTTCAAGCTCTGAACAAGTTGTTTTCGAGTTTTAGTTGCAGGCGGTGAAAACTGTAAACTTTTGCAGTTTCAAATTTTTTTGATGTTGGAATGAATCATGGTTTAAAACTGTAAAATTTTGCAGTTTCAAATTTTTTTGGTGCTGGAATGAATCATGATATAAAACTGTAAAATTTTGCAGTTTCATAACATTCTTTAGAACTATAAAATTTTATAGTTTCATAACATGTTTTTTAGTTTGATTAATAAGGATAAATGCTTAATAAATTTTTTCTTTAAAACTGTAACATTTTATAGTTTCAAAACTTACTTTTCAGTTTGATCAATATTGGAGATTATTTTCTTAAACCTTATAAAAATTGAAAAATAGCATATATTTTTCCCATTGTTGCTGTTTTTTGTCGTTTCATTTTTTTTCTTTTAGTTTATCAATATTTAGCACATTTTGCTATGTTTTTCACACTAATTTCTCTATTTATTTTTTTTCGACAATATTCTAAACATTCCGGTGAGTCTTCAGTGATGTTCTTAACGTCTAGTGAACGTTCTGAACATTCCGGTGAACTTTCGGCGATACTCTGGCGACTTCCCAGCGATACTCCGGTGACTCCCCAATGATGTTGAACATTCCGATGAGTCTCCGGTAACCGTTTGACGGAAGTCCAACGATAGTAAGATGTAACAGTGTCTATAAATTAAAAAAAAAAAATTAATAACAATTAAAAATATATAAGACTAATTGATACAAATATTTTGTTTGAGAATTAGATAAGTCATAAACTTTATATATGAAATTTATTAGTAACTTCCCCATTATTTTAACGCTATTTTAGCCCATCTCAAAGTTGAAAATCTCATTTGCAGCCCTTGTATTGTACCAATGACTTGAAACGTCTCTCTCCATCTTTTTGGAAAATTAAAATATAAATCACTTTTAACCACTGGCAGTTATGTGTAAAATTTTAAAAAAGAAAACCCCCATTTATGCTAAGTCCCGTTTAGTAGAGTTGTGAAAAAGTGATTATGATAACTTATAACTTATATCTGTGAATATAAGTTGATTTTTGACTTATAAGTTAAGCTTCTCTTCCTCACTTAAAGAATAAGTTAATTTTTAACTTATAAAAAACTATAAACTATATTGTTAAACTGAACTAAATACGTCAAAATAGTTTAAATTAAACCTAAAACTGAAATAAATTATAAATAAATCTTACTAAACATGGCCATAGCCTTATTTTATAAGCTCATGCCTGAAGGTTCTCAGTGTCAGAACACAAAACCAAGACACTAGAATCTCTATCTAAGGGAGAGAGAGAGAGAGAGAGAGAGAGAGTTGTTTTTGGCTGTCATTTTTCTTTTTATTTTATAGTTTTTGTCTGTGAAGTTGTTTTTATGTGGGTGTTTTTAAAGTTCTTGAAATGGTGAGATAATGAAGTGGTTGACTCTCTGTTTGACTTCTTCTTCAGCTCTGTATTGTATATGGATTTGTTGAGAGATTTTGAGTTTCCAATCTTCCATGGACAAGAACAAGGAATAAACCATTTTGTTGTGTTGTTGTTGATCACAGTTGAAGAAGTAGACAACAACAAACACAAACCATGTTAACAACCACCACACAAAAACAATACCCAAACATGGCTTCTTTCACATCTCATCATCAAACACATCCAATCCTTTTCACAATTATTGCTTTCCTTCTTGTCTTCTTTTCACTTAGCCCCGTCTTCTCGCTATCCGTCAGCGTCATGTCAGATTCCGGCCACCACCGCACACCGGCCAACCAAACTTTCTGGCCACATAAAGAGTTGGAGAGGTTGAAGAGAATAAGAGCTTATCTCAGGAAGATCAACAAGCCTGCTGTCAAGACTATTCAGGCATTTTCTCTCTCTTTCTTGCCATTTTCTTGGTAAAATCTTGGTGTTTTCTTATGGGCTTATGGTTTGACGATCTGGGGTTTTTTTTTTTTTTTTTGAAATATTGTTTCAGAGTCCTGATGGTGATATGATAGATTGTGTTTCATCACATCTTCAACCAGCTTTCGATCATCCTCAACTAAGAGAGCAGAAGCCATTGGTACCCTATTCTGTTTGTTTCTATAGAAAATATTGATAGGAAAGCTAATCCATTTTCTGGGCTTCATTTTCTTTTCTTTCTTTTTTTTTCCCCTGTATATTGCAGGAAGCACCAGAAAGGCCAAAAGGTTGGGACTCCGTAGAAGCAGTAACAGAGAGCTTTCAGCCCTGGACAAATTCAGGTCAATCATGCCCAGAAGGAACCATTCCAATCAGAAGAACTACAGAAACAGATGTTCTAAGAGCTAATTCAATTAAAAAATTTGGAAGAAAATTGCCAAGAGTGAGGCACGACACAATGAGCAGTGATCATGAGGTTAGTATATGAAAACAGAGTTGCAGAAAATACCCACATTTTCTTTCCACAGACTGTCATTGACCACCTTTTTTTTTTTCTTTTTTTCTTTTTTTTCTGGGAAAAACACTTCTTTAAAATTTGGGCAAATTACATATACCTAATTTAGTTAAATTAGTTAAATTACAGATATTCCCTTCAGGTTTTGAAAATTACAGATACCTCCTGAGGTTTATATTTTCATAACAAATTACCCTCTGAGATTTATATTTTCATAACAATTTATCACCTAATTTGTTATGCAAATAGTACCTTCAGGGGTATCTGTAATTTTTCAAACCTCAAGAGGATATCTATAATTTTGCTAAATCTCGAAGGGTATATGTAATTTGTCCTTAAAATTTTAAAACCACTTTTTAGTGTTATAAAAACCGAAAATGAAAAAAAACAACCAAAATAATTTTCTTGGGGAAAAGCATTGGAAACAATTTTCTGGTTCTATTCTCTATTGATCTACTTTAACTACACCAATGCTATACATATCACCCCAAAATAATAAATAAATAAATTTTTTTAAAAAATAGAATAATTTGTTTCATGAAAACCATGACGAGGGCATGATCCTAAGCCTAGCCAATCAGCCGGTTGGTCGACCGAACATGCTTCGTGGCGATTTTTGTGAAATAATTTTTGTAATCTCTACACTTACTGTTTTAAGTAAAATTAAAAGCTGTTAACTACCTCTAGGAAACAGAATATATATCCTCCCATCTTCTCATCCCCTTCTTTTCTCCTGACAATACCCAAAAAGCTATTTCTAAAAGAACAAAAATAATAATAGAAATAATACGTCATTCTAATTTGGGAACTCTAAAATAGTACTAATGATGTGTAAAATCAAAAAAGAAAAAAAAAATTAAGGCCAAAACATCACATCACATGGGACTCACACCCCAACTCACATCCCAATTAAAACTATTAGAACTCTTAATTTAGAGTTTCCAATCTTTATTCAAATAATAAAAGGAAAGAAGAACTCAAATTTAAATTTTCCTAGAAGAACAAAAGAAAAAGGAGAGAGAGAGAGAGAGAGAGCGCTATTTGTTTTAATTAAAGAGAAAAATTTGTGCATAAATTGTGTTATTTTTGGGATACCTTAATGAAAATTTTCAAAAATGATTAAAGCATGCAGTTGCATATGTGAATGGAGAAGAGTACTATGGAGCAAAAGCAAGCATAAATGTGTGGGCACCATCTGTAACTGATCAGTACGAATTCAGTCTCTCACAGCTGTGGGTCATCTCCGGCACTTTCGGCAATGATCTTAATACCATTGAAGCCGGTTGGCAGGTATGTCTATAACAAAATTTCATTACGTGGTCTGTTTGATTGGACGGACCGAAAAAAGGAAATTAAAATTTATCAGATTTGAGTTTTGGAACTGTGAATCCTCCGGATTATTTAGTTAGATTGGATATGTATTCTGTGTTTGTTTTTTCATGGGATTAGATGTCTGGAAAAGACTATTTTTAATGAATCTAACGTTTGATTAGACGGACTGGATATGATAAATGAACAAAAAAACTATTTCACCATTTTCAATTGTTTACTAAGTAATAGCAATATTAAACATATCTTTAATATTTTAATTATTTTTAACTAGATTAAATAAAAATTTATTTTATTTTATTTTTTACACAATTAAATAAATTTGTTTTTTTAAAATTAAATAAATAAATAAATAAAATATCAATAAAATTTGTTTTAAATCATTACTGTATAACAAATCATTATTTTTTTTACATGCAAAACTTTACTGTGTTTGTTTATTTACACAATTAAATAAATTTATTTTTTTACACAATTAAATAAATAAATAACCACTAAATTTGATTTAATAAAATACTGTATAACCTGTATAAAAAATTTATATTATTTTTTTAATTAAAATTTTAAATAAATTTTAAATAAAACACATATTAAAATTTAAATAATGAAATTAAATAAATTATAAACAAAATTTTAAAATAAAACATCAATAAAATATCTATAAAAAATTATTTTAAAAATTTAAATAAATAAAACATCAATAAAAAGTTAAATAAAATTATTTTATTTTTAAATTGAGACATTTAAATTTTATTGAATTTTACTAAATATAATACATAATTAAATAGTAGAGGGTCAAAATAGTCATTTCATTACTTAATCCCAACAGTTAACAATCCCCCAAAATTGTCTCACACCCCCTAGGATAGTATAATCCCCCATATGGGGGATAAGGAGTCTGGCCGGACTCCATGTCCGGCAGACTAAACAAAAAACAAACATCGGATTAGATTTACTGTGCGGATTACAATCCGCACAATAAATAATTCCCCTTTTATCCCTCAATCAAACACACCCTATAATAATAATCACCTCTTATTTTATGTAAAAAAATAATAATATAAATAAATAACAAGCTGCTTTATGCAAAAGTCGTTGCTTTTCAAATTGATTATTCATAACATGTACAAAATTTTAAAATATTTTTCTTTCTTTTTTTTTTTTTCATTTTAAAATGCACAATACTGCTATGCTACTTTATTTAGGGGAAATTACACCTCAATGAAGTTTCTACAAAATATTTATAACAAGAATAAAAAAAAATTATAAATTCAATTATTAATATGTATAAAGTTTTTTTATTAACTTGAAATCTTTTTTGAAAAATTACCATGATGAGTAGTTTTCCCCTTTATTTGTCCCGTATGGCCCACACTCCTTTAAATGAATGAAAACAGTGCTTTTGTATACATAGATTTTTTTTTTTTGAAAAAAATATATGTTTTTGTAATTTTATAATTGGTTTGGCATTTTCTTTTTCAGTGCTCTTTTTGTCTTTTTTTTTCTGCATTTTTATTTATTTTAGAATAAAATTATTACTAAAAAAATTGATACGTTTGACAAATGTTAAAAAAATTACTTTCTCATTAGAAAGTTTCATGTGGAATTTGAATTTGTTATGTAGTGAACTTTTTATATATATTTTTTTATTTTTTAGATTCTTTCAAATTAAAAAATAAAATTTAAGTTTCAATGAGAAAAAAAGTGACTTTTTTTCCCCACTTAAATCAACCGAATTGAACAATTAATATTTCTTTCTTTAGTTTTTTTTTTTTTTTTTGGGTTTAATTTTTTTCTTTAGTTTAAATCATCAAAAAGTAGCTTTTTAGCAAAAAAAAAAACAAAAACGAGGCCTTAATATAACAAGTATTCATTGTTTAGATGCTAATGGAATGGTTTTCTTAGAAACACGTATGAGATTTATCGGCTGTTTGAGATATTCTAAATAAGTGTATTTTTTGACTTTTCATAAAAATGTGTATAGAAAAGTAGAGAGGAGATGTTGATTGATGTGATCTAAAAAAATAAAAAGATAAAAAGTATGGACTTATTTAGTCTTCCTTATTCTTGCATGATAGATATATATAGTTAATTGCTAAAGTTTACTAACAATGACATTTACTCAAAAAAAGAAAAAAAAAAAAAAAAAGAAAGAAAAAATGTACCCACACATATTTAAAATGTGTGATCAGATTCATTTTAATATAGGTGAAACTAAGAAAAAACCACGGAAGGGAGAGGGGATAGCCCCCTACTTATATGAATGAAATTATTTGTCTCAACACTATAAATATATATACTGTTCTTTAGGGCCATGTTTGTTTGGGCGGACTGGATTAGCATTCTCATGACTAATAGTCCTAGGGTACAAATCCATTGGATTATGTATCCTATCTTAACTAATAGTCAAGTTTAAAATAATTAGTCCGTACTTCAATTGTTTAATCAAACATTGGATTAGTAATTTTATTGGACTATTAGTACAATCCCAAGCTCATGTCCACCCAAACAAACATGACCTAGAAGTATAAGAACAAACAATGTTCTAGTAGTAGTTCAAGTCCTCCAACAAACATAGTTAATCATTTTGAGCAAAAATAATTCCCTACAGTGAGTTGCCTTTTGCATTGTTTAAGGGATTTCAAAACTTATATTTTTACATCTCCATTTTTTTGTAAAACTTATATTTTTAGAATCCTATTAATAAGATCTTTCAAATAAAATCCATACGTAATATAAAAATTTAAAAGAAAAAAATTCATGAAATTTTACTGTGTTCATTGTTACGTCACAGTGAAATTTCTATGACTTTCGTGAAAGTAAAATATATTTTTTACACTAGAAAATCTAAAATTGATTATTAATTTAAGACTAATAAGTTCAAATTTGAAAGTTTCAAAATAAGAAATTCTAAAATTTTCTGTATTAAATCAATAAAAGTTCACTGTATGTATAGTGAAATTTTTCTAACTTTGCACGGTAAACTTCACTATGCAAAATCAATGAAATAATTTTTTGAACTCTAAAAGATAAAAGTTGAGGGTCAATTGCAAAAGTTAGGTCATTAATTCCAAATTTAAGACATAAAAGTTTAAATTGAGTGTTCAAATAAAACAATTTTTTTTTTTTTTTTTTTTTTTGTCTTTTAAAATAATGAAGTTTCACTGATTTCACATAGTGAAATTTTAAGAAGTTAGAGAAATTTCACTTACTTTTAGTCTAGGTCACTGAAATTTCTCTGACCACTGATTGTAGTAATTTCATGTATTTTGTAGATTTTTTGATATGTTTTCTTGTCAAAATTAGTGTCAACTCACCCGAGTCATTATCTGTTTTTTCCAAACACTTGGTTGATCTGGTGAAAGCTTGCCAAAGATAGAGATTATGTTGTTTGAGAGGGAGAGAGAAAGAGAGTGAGACGTAGACATCTAGAAACAACATAGAGAACGGCGTCGAATGCAGTTGATGCGATGGTGGCAGCAACAACGACAAACTCTGGTATATACAGTGATCACTGATTGTAGAGAGAGAGAGAGATAGAATACTAGAGAGAGACACAAAGAGACACGATATAAAGAGTTCTAGGATTTTTTTTCCTGTTTGTAAAGATAATGTGGTCTATTTATATCAATTTTTTTCGTTATTCTTCTACAATTTGAAATCTCAAGGACTTAAACTAGCAAGCAAATTGTTGATATCTTTAAACTCTTGCACAAAATTGTAGAAGGATGTCTCCCTAATTTTTCTTATAAAGAATATATATCTTATTCTTCTACGACTTTGCAATCTCTTAAAGCTTCTTCATCTAATCAAAAATTGCTTTCATGGTGCTTGATTTTTTAATTTGTTTTTTTGGTATATATATAAAACTCACATATTGTGTGTACATGAAGGCTTGTATATATGGTTAAAAAAAATTATTCGAATTTTAGCTCATCTAGTGATGAAATTTTGGTTATGTCCCTATATTCTAGGTATGATGTCTATCATCTTCTTTTTATGCCATGAGTCCCTTATTTCTTGGAGAAATAAAAAAAAAAAATTAAATATTGAGATGGTGGTGGAAGAGACTTGAACCTAAGATCATTGGTTCGATAAAAAACACTTTTACAGTTGAGCAATAGACAATACATGTTTTTAATTCAAAACCAAAATCTATATTTTACAGATTTGAAAGCCAATGCTTGGTTTGGTGTCTTGAAACTTTTTTTTTTTTTTTCACATGCCAAGTGGATTTTTCATGTAAATCTACTTTTAAGTAATTTAGTTTTGATGTTTTTAAATAAAAATAAAAATAACTTCTCACTTGCAAACTAATTACAATTACATTTTTATTTTATTATATATATATGTATATTGCACTGATTGGTAACTTGAATATGAGTTTGCCCGAAATCGCTCGAATTTTGGCTTGTCGGTAGTTCGCCAGTTATCTGGCAAGAACGTAACAGTCGCGGTCAACAAGAGTGATAACTTCGGTAGACAAGTGTTTCACCAGTTGTCACGGTAGTCGTCCAGGTGATCGTCTCGGCAGTCAACCAAAAAGTACAAATTTGGGCTTTCGAACAAACTCAAATTCAAGTTACCAATTATTTTTCATATACATATTATTGTTTAATTCGACACACAGTATGTGTTACCTTCCTTCTAGCTCCCAATTTAAATCTACAAGATAAATTCAAATTCTAAACACATACATAGCATATCTGGATTGTTTACTCCCTCTACATGCAGTTTAGTTCTCACTAATTAAGCTCTACTTTGGTACCTATTAAAAACTATTACATTATGTTATTTCAGGTTAGCCCACAATTATATGGGGACAACTACCCTAGGTTCTTCACTTATTGGACAGTAAGTATATATTTCTAGGTATTTTCTAATTTTCCTCTTCATAATTATTATTTATTTAATTAATTAATGAGAAAAGTCAAGTCAAGCCCTAATTAATATATTTATATAGAGTGATGCATACCAATCTACTGGATGCTACAACTTACTCTGCTCAGGCTTTGTCCAAATCAACAATAAGATTGCTATTGGAGCCGCAATCTCTCCAAGATCCTCCTACAGTGGTACACAATTTGATATTGGCATTACTGTTTGGAAGGTAAGTCTAATTTACAGTTAAATTAAGCACATATAAATCAATCATAAAACCAAGTGGACACATTTTATTTTGATAAAATGAATGGTCAATTCTAAAAATGATGCATGTCAATGCCATTTATTTATTTATTTATTTTTAAATGTAATCGGATCATATAGTTGTTAATATTTGATTAACTTTTTTTTTTTTGGTATGAATGATACTTGACGGAACCTATAAGATTAAGACCTTGTTTGGGAACAAGTTAATTTAGTAATTTTTTGACTATTTGGCTAAAATATAAGCTAAAAAAAACTAGTATGTTTGGGATGACTTTTTGACTTTTTACGAAAAGATGTGCAAAAAGTAGAGAGAAAAGAGAATTGAGAATTTTTAACTTTTTGGTATAAATTGTTAGTTTTTTGACTAATTTAATAATTTTTTGACTTTTTAACTAAAAAAATAGTTCCCAAACGAGGCCTAACCATTTGGATCATTAAGATAGGTCCATAGTAGACTCACAATGGGCAAACTACACCATGCTGTGCAAAGTTGTTTTCTTTTTCAAAAAATTTTGCCTGTAGTATTACTTTATTAAAATTTGTACTTTTTAGGTACTTTCAACTAGAAGGCTCTAATTTTTTTTTCAAAAATGCTTCGGACCCCCACTGGGGGTCGACCCCCAGTGAGGTGACGCGTGGTGATTGGTTTGCTTTCAAGTGCTAACATAATTGCGATGCAATGGCCAAGCCTTGATGCGGTTTTTCCAATAGCTTGATCCGATTTTCGTTTTGTTCTTTCATCAAATAAATGTTTTTTTTTTTTTTTTTTTTTTAAAAAAAAAAGGTTTTTGTCCAAATTTGGGGGGGGGGGAAATCAATAGAAACAAGAGAAAGTTTATATATATATATTGTCTTTTAATTTATTTTTTTTCAAATTTAGTTAATTCTTTTCCTTTTTTAATTTTTAAGATATCTATTAAGACTCAAAATATTTAAAATAATAATAATAATCATAATAATTACTATAAAAAGAAAAAAGGCAATAAAATTTATTAAAAGTGGACTCGTCAAACTCCCACTTTTAAGTCTGTTCAACAATGCGCATGTAAAAGCTTTAAACATGTTATTTGCAAGGTTAGCAGGCAAACTATTAAGCCTGCACACATTGCAGCCAAACGTGCTCTTAAAGATAGTATAATTAAAGTTAAAGCACAGAGAAAATACTTACAAATTAATAGGGATAATACTTAAATTATTTAAGAAAGAAAAAGTTTTGTTTGCTCTGGACAACTCTCATGTTAAACTTTTTATAAATGTTTTAAGACGTAACCTATAACTAGTAAAATCGAAAAAAGAGAAGAAAACAAATGTCAAATGCACAAGTGGGCCTCTATCGTCACATGGGTCAGTTCTGTTTTGTCAAAAGTAAATAGTAATATAAAATTATAAAAAGTAAAAGGCAAGATTCTTTTTGGCGGATAGTTTGACAAGTAACTTCGGATGGCAAACAATATCCTTTTATCTTTTTGTGAAGATAACAAGCAAACTCGATGTTACAATCGATGGGAACAATTTTCCCTTCATGGATGTTATGACCTAAAAATTGAATTGCAATTTGAAATAGTTACATTTTAGGAGCAGAAATAACTAATCTATTTTTGGGCCATAATTAATCCATTTTAGGAACAATTTTCAGTTAATTGAAAAGCTTTCCCAAAACATACGATCGATGGGGATAATTTTCCTTTCATGGATGTTATGGCCTAAAAATCGAACTATTATTTGAAATAGTTTCATTTTAAGAGCAGAATTTACTAATCCATTTTAGGAACTATTTTCAGTTAGGTGAAAAGCTTTCCCAAAACACTAACTCAGGAAACGGAAATGATAAGATTGGGCAATAAGATAAAATAATTCCATCTTATCTCCACAAAAAGATGGAATGAAGTTGTCTGCCATCCAAGGCAATTTGGCAAGAAAAGTGATATACAAGCTCACTTTCTAAATCTATTTTTAAGATCCAGTGATGTGTAAGTAATATAATTAGTTGATAATTATAGAAGATATGAGAGGGTGTTACCTTTAATATCTTAATTAACTATCACATTACTACGCTTAAAAAATGGGTCTAATTTTTTGTCTTGAATAATAATGTTCATTTGGCAAATTATCTATCAAAAGGAATCTTACTTTTTGTTTTTGTCATTTCATATTACTATTTACTTTTGATAAAAGAGAATTGACCTATGTAATGATGGGATCCACTTGTACGTCCGATATTTGTCTTCTTCTCTTTTTCCGATTTTACCAATTATAGGTTATAACGTATTGGACGTCTATATAAGGCTTAGCTTAGGAATTGTCCAAAGCAAGCAAAATTTTGTATCTTTCTTTCCTTTGTTATCTCCTTAAATAATTTAAGTATTACCCCTATTACTTTGTAAGTATTCTCTTTTTGCTTTTACTTTAACTTTAATTATATTATCCTTGTTTTACTTGGTATTATAGCCATGTTAGCTTAAATCCGTTGTGATGGTGATGGTATCTCTATTATGCATATCATAAGTATGTAGTAATTTTTAGAACTGTACATGTGGATGTTATGATCTAAAAACAATGCGCGGGAGCCCATTTTTTTTAGTATTTCTCTTTTTTCTTTTTTCTTTTTTTCTTTTTTCTTTTTTTTAATTACCAGTGAAACCCTTTTTTTTCGGAGGAAGATGCTGGCTAATATGAAGTGTTGAGGTGTTGGGTTATAAACGAGTCATGGAAAATCGAGTATTAAATTATTTAAGTTTGATTAAAAAATTTAATGAATTTTAAAATATATTTAAATTTAACTTATTTACATAATGAGTCGATCTCAAACGAGCTTTTAATAAGGCCCCGTTTGGGGACTTACTTTTTTAGCCAATTAGCCAAAAAGTTACTAAATTAGCTAAAAAGCCAACAACTCATACCAAAAAGTCAAAGATTCTCTTTTTTCTCTACTTTTTGCACATCTTTTCGTAATTAACCAAAAAGTCATCCCAAACATACAAGTTTTTTTTACCTACCTTTTTAGCCAAATAGCCAAAAAGTTACTAAATTAGCCTGTTCCCAAACGAGGCCTAAGTCGAACTTGAATCAAGTTCAAGTATTTTGATTTTTTATAGTGCACATAAACTTATCTCGAGTAATAAATTATTCATATTTGACTTAAAACCCTTACGAGTTTAAAATTGTGTAGCGAGCCGAAGTGGACTGCTGATTTACTAGATCAAATGTGGAGGCCTAATATAGGCGTGAGAAAGATATTGCTAGTGGTGTCGCTGGTGTCTAGGCAAGATTTGCTTGTTCTTCCCTCGTTTTCTCTTCATCTATTAGATCCCTTAGGTGTCCTTATCTGACAAGGTCCTCCAGATGCTACTTCAGAGCCCGACATCCTTGCATCATGTGCTTGGGCTCATCGTGGTCCGGAAAAGTCCTCGCAAGAAATCTGCCTATAGACTTCCTTGGGATTTTCTGCGGGGACCTAAAGTAAGGTTGATTTCGGATTCTTTCCAAAATCTTGTAGTTCAGGATCTTAAAGACTGTGTTCATGGCCTGCATTCAACCCCGGCTCCGGCCTATCAACTTTGCCTCCTCGGCTACGTTTTGGTAAGTTGTTCCGCTTCTCCTACTTAACCATGCCTCATTTCTTCGATTTCTTGCCCTCCTCTGCCCGTGCGTACTTTTCAATCATTGCTATTAGATCCTCTATACTTTTCAGGAGGGTCTTTGCAAGAGATTGCCGAAGTGGGCAGTCATCCTCTAAGCCGTTCTTAAAAGAAACGACTAATAGCTCCTGGTTAAATGTCGGAATCCGGTTGTAAATCTCATAATATCTCTTAGCGTAAGCCCTAAGGCTTTCGCCATCGTCAATCATTAATGCTAATAGAGAATTAACCCTCAAAGGCTCCAATCTGTTTGTAATAAATCTAGTCACAAATATCTCAGTTAGGCCTTCACAACTCTTGACTGATCCCTACGACAATAGGAGGAGCCAATCTAATACTATTTCCCCAAACATTGATGAGAACACCTTATATAATAACTGTTCATTCTCACTCCACAAGGACATTGCGTTCAAGTATAAACCAACATGGAAGTTAGGATCAGACTTACCATCGTATATCTAGAACCTCAGCATGGTGAATCTCTTGGGTGCTTCAAACACGTCCAGTTCTAGCAAGAACAGTGACCTCGGCTGCGTTGTAGACATAACCTCAACACCATTTCTCTTCTTTTGGAGATAATTACGCAAGTCCTCATTCGTTCGTCCGAGCTCGGCTATCGACCATCTTTAACCTCTTCGGTGTGCTGCTTCCCATACTAAGATGTGACCTCTTGGACTTTTCAGCGCGAAGTATCTTGTTGAGGCAAGGACCCTGTTCATTAATCTGCAAAGATTCTCTAATCTGTGTCCCTCTCGTTCTCTAAGAATCTACTCTTCGTGATTCTGTTCGTCTGGTGTTCTGTGATCGCCGATTTGAATTCACATTTCTCTTTTTGTGGTGAGGAACATTGGCACCACTACCTGCCTCGCTGACATTTACAGCAGATGTTGGCGTGGCCAGTAATGGCAACGCCGACATCATCACCTTGCTTTGCATCATAAAGTTCACCACAGTTTGCAGGTTTGTCAGCTTGTTTCACTTCATCATCCCTCTATAGGCATCGGTCCTTCTAGACTTGGAGATCACTCTCACTATAGTACTCCTCTCAGTTGCCCCTCATCGAGCCGTTACGGCCCTTGGCTGCATTTTTCGTTTCTGGATCTACCTCTTGTAGTTCATTATTGTGTTCTCCTCCGACATTTAGATCGAGGTACGCCTCATCCTCATTATGCATGCCGTCCCCGACTCTCATTTCTTGTCTAGCGTTGGCCATCTATTCTTACTAAGTTCCCACAGACGATGCCAAATTGTAGGTGTTGATTTTTGACCTCACAACCAAATAGATCTCTCTGCTGAAACCAATGGAACTTAGCTAGAGAGC